AAGCAGCATTTCCTGTAACTATGGCAACAATACTGAACCTTGGTATTTGCTGGTATTAGGGGTCCAAAAATCATACTATTGTTGTTTATTGATTTTTGTTTTGTTATAGAATGATAATGGCTCTATTTTGCCATTTATTGGTGTGGTTCTTGTGATAGAAAGATAGAAATCTTTGTTGTAGGCCATTATTGGGTGTTTTTGAGACTGATCTTATTGCCCAAGCAAGCTTTGAATTTCCAGTGTTGAATACATATTTTTTCTGATCTCTTGTCACACCAATTTTACAATGACGGTTCTATTGATATAAGTCACAACTATCACTGTCACTGTGATGATGAAAGAGCTGTTTGGACCTGACAACACGGTCTGTTTGCCTTCTAGATCAAGAATAAAGATTGCGCGTCGTTGGTTTCTTGTCTTTTTGTTTGTTTTTCTTTGTTGGTCCTTTTGTAATACAATTGTCAATACACTCTTAGCTTGGGGAATCACCCCATAGGAACTCAGAGTGTTGTGGTTGTGGCGTTCTTGACACAGGGAAGTGAATTGACACATACCAAAAATAGATAAAAMAGGAAATCACCAGGAAAGACAAGATATTCTTTTTTCTCAACACAACTAATTCTTTCTTGGGCAACTGATACATGCTATCGTGCATGTGGTAAAAATACTATTGTTAACCAAAAACTATRTTTTGAGAGAAAATAATATTGATATAAACAGATGAAAAAGAAACAACGCAAGCTAGATATAACTGGGGGTGAGTATGGTGATAATAGAGGGTCCTTTAGGGCCGCGCCATTTGCCCGTCATGGTGAAAACAGTTYATGTGACAAGTTAATGGGCGGAGTTTCTTCTGGAATTTGATATAGTTCTATGTTGTTGTCTGAAAAGAATTGGCAATGCTAGCAGAGGAGGAAACAATCTTTTAGTAGTACCACAACCAAAATTATACAGAGAGATCAGAGTACTACTACTATTTACCCTTGGAATGGTGTTTGTTGAACCACCAGAGTACTATTGGAACAGCAGTACTACAAGTAATTTTTACATTACTATTACTAGTACTTCTAGTACCACTACTACTAGTAGTAATATTGTTTAATGCGACAGCAGGATGATTAARGTTTGCAGATGATTCAGAGGTGTTGAGAACTGAGAACTCTCTCGCTGAATTACACGACCTCATGCAAAGGTACGAGTGTTCGGACCCGAACGTTCACAAAATTCTTGTTGGGAAATGGACCAACAATAAAGCGATAGGATGATACAAATTTTGATAATATCCCAGTAAACAGAATTACGACATTGATGCGACACGAGACAATTTATCAATCTGGGGGCAGCTTAAGAAATTACAAAGAAGTTCTGATGATTCAACAGTCGCTGTATGTTTTTAAGAAGACATTCGATAGTCCTTGGTATCGAAGACAAGAATATCTATTCTAACGTACCATTGTTTAATTGACTCTAGTACGGTACATATTTTGTACGGGAAGGACWGTTTGTATTCGGCGACCCGGCAGGTATTGTTTTTATGACGAAAAAATKATTAAAGCTTACTCACCTTACTATTGATACTCTAATACAATAATTAAATAGCCCCCACTGGAGAAGAAGCTACGGTGCATTTATTGCCTGGCCCCACACAACACAACCTTTGGTTATCGGTTTTCACAATTGGGTTGGCGCCGAATGGTCAATAAATATTATTTTTTAGTACGGCGTTGCACCACGCGGTGTCCCCTCCACCTTATGTATTCCTTCACAAGATGAAGTCATGTTCGTCGCATCTTATCACTTCGTTTTGAGTGTTCGTGATCAACTCTAATGACCAACACAAATAACAACTGAAAAACGAAATCACCCCACCATCCACATAATATAATAATACGATACCATAGGTTTGAGGAAACCTAGCCAACTATAACATCGTGACCCACCACCACTCTGCGATACTGCGTACACTTGAGGTCTCACAAATTAAAATCGAAAAGGATTTAGCGGGTCGGAACAGCGACGACGGGTGCCGCTGATATCTTTTTCAGGACAACTCAACGCACACCATACGATATCGCTCTTCTTCTCACTCTTGATTTAATAGTGATCGGGATCTATTCCTTTGTGTTCAAGGTAAGAAATAGTTCACGTGACGTGATAAGATTTGTATTTTATTGTTCAATTTCCAATTGTGGGTCGAATTGTTGCCGTGTTTATAGTGTGAGAGTTCAACACAGCACAACACAGCACAACAAAACACAACGAAACAGAAACTCTTTTTCTCTATCGTAGTCTACACTAAAACCGGAGTACACTTCGATTTCATCTGTCTAAAGTTCTGCAGATTGTCCCACACCCCACACACCCAACCACAACTCTATTGTGATCTCCGATCATTATTGATCCCCGGCAATCTCATCGATTTTTAATTTTTATTCTTTGCCACAAACAACTCCTCTATGAAATAAAATAATATGGTATCGAAATGAATTGAAAGAAGGGCAACCGAATCAAATTGAACTTGCCCGGAACATCCAAGCAAATGATTTTTCTCCTTGATAAACTATACACAAAAGTACATCCGCACAAAACAAGACAATAAAAAGACAAAACATAACAACACGAAACAATACAATATCCGCCATGCCCATCGGAAGAGGATTGCCCACCCGAAAGTCGGCCCCGGGCAAAGCGAAGTCATCTTTGTCCGCTGCTACTACCGGGAGCCGAAGGAGAAGCCGTGGCCTTCCGCTTACGGGTGGCGGGGCGTCTTCTTCCGAGGCGGCTTCGAGCGCGAGATCTTCGTCGCCATCGTTGTCCAACTCGCGATCGAGATCTCCCTCGTCGGCTCGGCCTTCTGCGGCGTCCTCGTCGTCGCTGTCATCGAAGAAGAAAAAGAAGAGCACTTCCAAAGCCGGTGGCAGCAGCCACAGCAACAGCAGTGCGAGTAGCAAGGGAGCAAGAAACCCCGTCAAGACAGAACCGGGCCTATCGTCCTCGTCGAGCCAAAGGCAGAGGCAAACAGCGCAAGAAGAGCACGACACGCAAGCCCACCAATTACAGGTTCTGGAGGCAAAATTGGACAAGAAAAGTGCAGTCAAATTTAGCGGTGGCAATCGACGAACCCAAGGATCGTCTTCGAATGTTTGGGCCGTCAAACTGATTGTCAATGGCAAGGTCTTTGACAATAATCATAGCAGTGTCAATCGCAGAGCAAACTTTTCTATCGGACGAAATGGTGGAGATGAAACGTCGACTTCGTTGTTATCTCGAGCGAATCAAAAGGAGGACGAATATCATGACGATGAAGAAGAACAGCAACAAAATCTACAAGAACAGGAACCATATCGCCCGAGACGATTTCGCGATGTTTCTTCAGATCAGTCCAACAGCTCCGAATCACTTTCAAAACACAAGGGCAAGGATGGGAATTTCCATTACTGCAACATATGCGGAGAGGTTGGAGACGTGGTGTGCTGCGATGGTTGTCCACACGTGTACCACCCGCAGTGTCTCCCGGCAGATTCGGAATCCTTTGCTGCTCTAGATACGCAACACGACGATGATCCTTGGTATTGTCCGGACTGTTTTTCTAGCAAGAAGAAGAGAAAGAGAAAGGGCTCCATTAGTAATAGTGGTGCCAACAGTAGAGGTGGAGCTGGAAGCGAAACCATGTCACCATACCGGCAGCAACGACCCAAGCGCAAGTGCTCCTACGACGCCGATGCCTTTGTGCAAGATGATAGCAGCGACGAAAGTGACAACAGGAAAAATAAATATGGTAAAGATGGATTATTGCTAGATGAGGACGGCGATCCTGTCGCGGTGGACATCGCCGAGGACGATGCCTACGACGAGGAAGACGCAGAAATCAGCGAGGCCATGGAATCTCCATCCTCCACCACTTCCTACCCCAAATCAAAAATCTCAACGCCCTCTAAAAGCAGCCGTGGATCGAGCACTTCGGGCAAGACGACAGCCCCCAAGAACAGCTCATCACCATCGCTGTCTTCGTCTGGTGTCTTGTCGTCTGCATCCAAGAAGAAATCCAACAGCAATAAGAAACAGAAAACCACCGGCGCCACCAGCAGGAGCCGGTCCGCCAGTCCGGTCCGCTCACGTGCGGCTTCACCAACGCTGTCTTCCCGCATCGAATCTTCCAGTAGTGATATGAAGAAAAAAGACAAGAAGAAAAAGAAAAAGAAGAGAAAGAAGGAACATTCCGATGGAACTGCCAGATCTAATTCTGGCGGGAGTCGTGCCGACGGAAACGACCGAAAAACGAGGAACGACAAGAGCGATGGCGAGAGGGGTGGTGGAATGTTATCCCACGTATTGAACAACAATGCTTCTGGATTGGTCAAAGCCGTCCCAGCGTTCTACTTTTTCTTGAATGAAAATCGTAACAAAATCGATCGCAACTTGTCTCGCAAGCACAGATATTTCAACCGTCTGCCCAAGGCGAATATGGAACGGAACCAGTTGATTGCGAAAGAAGGAATTATAATGTGGGGAAAACTTAGCGACCTGGAAGTGAAACGATACATTGATATCTCGATGAAAGATTTCGAACGTCGCATTATGGAATGGAAAGAAGCGAAAATTCTTCGGAGCATGTTTTTGGCGGCAGAGGGCGACGGCGGCGACGCTTCTAGCGGAGAACAGCAGCAGCAACAGTCACGAGAGGTCGATCGTAACTTGTTGCTAGAAGACGAACGATTAACTCGAGAAAATCATCAGCGATTGTATCTCGGAACCACGGTCGGTTATAAACCATACAAACCCGACTTGGAAGAAAGCAACAATCGAATATTGTTAGAATTGCTGCAAGACACGAGATTTCACCCTCTGCCAATGATTCAATCCAATCGGCCGGCGCAAGAATATGGAGAAATGGACTTTGATCGGATCACCATTCCCTACTTTGATGTCAATGGCCCAGTATCTACCTGCTTGGGAGACGAATGTCTAGGATGTGCTCGTGGGTGGAACCATTTTTGCAACGTATTGAAACGAAAAATTCCTGCCGTTGCCCGAAGGGCAAAATTGCAGCCTCCACTTAGTTCCCTTGTTGCGACTAGAATAGGACTGGGATTAAAGAATCCCCTGCTTACCGAAGATAACCAAGACGAAGAGAACGGAGGAGAGAAGAAAAACGGGGCTTCTCCGATCAGGAACATCAACGGCGGGATTAAGAAGAGCAGTGACGAAAACGTGGAAACCTTCACCGCAAGGGATATTCCCAGTGCAGCAGCTGCAAAAGCTCTTCCACATTATCCTTGGGAATCACTTACAGCTCCAACAGAAAGAGCTGACGATGTGGTAAGATTCGTCGAAGAAGCTGTTTGCATGAAAATTCCGGAACCTCATAGGCCCAGGGGAGGCGACTACGACAGCGATGGGTTCGACGAGAATAAAAAGAAGGCACATTTCAGCCCTACAAACAAAACAATTAGATTCAATCTACCTCTTAGAAAGGAGCGGAGGCGGCGTTTGGATGATTTCGGTAATAGTTCTGTTGCTGAAGACGAGGATAACGAAGAAATTACGGTGAACAAATGCGGACGCTGTCGAACTATCATTGAAGGTGATACAGGATGCGTGCCCTGCCGACGGGCTCAGCTAGTTATCAACATGTCCAGGGGAGAAGGCCAGGCCGACGAAAGTGAAGCATCAAGAATGCTTCGAATCCAGACGAATATGCTCGGGCGGGTTGTGATGCGAGATAGTGAAGTGGAATCACAAGAACAGGGCGACGAGGCAGTCTCCAACTATATTCTGCGCCAAAGATGGACTCCATTCACTATTCTTCCACCGTCAACCCTTACTTCGCCAATGCTCCGAGAAGACGGAGATAGTGTTGATACGAACGAATCTGAATCTGACGACGATAACGATGGGAACGACGATGTTGGTGAGAATGGAAGCGAAGAAAATGGTGAAGGGGCAATTGGGAGGGCCGTTCACGAAGATTGTGTTCCAACTTCTATGGATATTGATTCATCCGAAGAAAACAGCCCGGCAAAGGCTGTTTCCGACGACGCTGCGTCTGATGACCCTATCGAAGAAGAGTCCTCAACGCAGGCGTCAAACCATGATCTTGACGCTCGGCCACCTCCGTCGAAACGTTTGCGTGCCAGCTCGAGGCTTGGTGCATTAGAAAGCAACGGGGCTGCCAATTTTGCCTCTATATCGAAGGTCAATGACGCAAATGATCGACATCTTCTGACGAAGAAATTTAAAGAAGAAGCAACCATGGTAAATAGAAAATGCATATCGATCTCATGCTACGGGATCTTATTGGCACTAAAAAGGCGGGATCCACTGCTTCACTTTGCGGAACCAGTTGTAGCAGAGGGTTATAGTGACATTATCAAAAAACCGATGGATTTTGGTAAAATAAAGAAGAATGTACTTCGAAACAATTACGCAACACTGGGAGCGTTTATCTCCGACGTCAGGCTGCTGTGCGACAACGCAATAGCCTTCAACCCACCTGATTCAATTTACTCGAAAACTGCCAAGGAGCTTTTGGACGTTTTAGCGGTAATGCAAAAGCGGGCAAGTGAATGGATCAGCACCCTGAAAGATGCCCATGCTTCGACCTTCAACAACATTTTTAATCCCCAAACGATCAAGAACAGCGAATGCGAAGTAAGCAAAAAATCTTTCCTCGGTGGAGACCCCTTCCATCGTCTACGAAAGGAATGGCCAGAAGCTGTGGAGTTGTACGAGGATAACGAGTGGCTACAAAAATCTGTGGAAACAGACTTTATGCGAACAAAAGAAAACGAGAGTGCATACTACGGTAGTTTGGCAATTCGACGTGCTGCCATGGCAGCTGCTATGTCCCTCGCACCGTACACAGACTCTGATGGTATGTATAATACTGTTGGAAGAAGAACTCACATCGAAGACGAGAATCTCAGAAATTTTATTGCGAAAAAGGTGGCCGAGTCAGTCCATCCGCCTGAATTGAAGGAGCTCCCATCGTGGAGAGAAGAGACAATAATGCGAGTCCTTCGAAAGTCACAGGCCCGTCGAATGGAAGGTAAAATGGGATCTACGCATGGATGTGCTCGCTGTGACGGTGTTCGTGTGGATCCAGAGTCCAACAAGGCTATGAATGTTGTMAAAACACGCTGGGGCAGAACTCGAAAGAAACCAAACGAAGTTCCCCGAATCCACAAATCGCGTCTCGGTTTGAGTACGGGTCTAGGAAGCCAAAATACACAAGAACGAATTAGACGACACAAGGCAAGCGATATTCGAAAAGGACTTCGCAAAGGATCAATATCAGCTTTGGTTGCAGCTGCCGACAAAGTCAACGAAGTTGCAGTTACTGCTCGTGGAAGTCGTATTCATGGAATGGGCCTTTTTGGTAAGTATTGTCAGTACAAGTTGATATTTTTCAGAAATCTGATTCGACCTACCATGGCATCTATTTTCCCCTGCAATTTGCTCTGCTCTAACGTTATTCATTCCGTTCAACCATGCTTTTTTGAATCTTKTGTTTCTATTTTATGGTAAAAAAGCTGATCAAGCTCTTCAGAAGGGGGATGTTGTTGCGGAATACGTCGGAGAATACGTCAGTCCTGCGGTTACAGAAAAAAGAGAAAAAGGGTATCAAAAGGAGCGTATTCAAGACTACCAATTCCGAATCGATTCCCAGCTCGTTATCGATGCCACAAAGCAGGGCGGCCACGGCCGCTACGCAAATCACAACTGCGATCCGAATTGTGCCACAAAAATCATTCCATTCAAGTTGGAGGACGAAGCAGTAAAAACTACCAGCAACGGCAACATTCTGAAGCGTGTTGTGATCGTTGCACTGCGAGACATCGAACCAATGGAGGAATTGACCTATGACTATCAATTTCCTCTCGAGGTCGATCTCGATGAGCGCATACCCTGCAACTGTAACTCTGAGCTCTGCCGTGGCTTCATGAATTGGGATCTCCCCGAGAAGGGAGCCAGAAACCAGGACTTCCGAACCCAAAAGAGGGGCGCCAATATGCGCGATCGAATCCGCCGATTGGGTCGCCCTCTTAAGGGTGATAAATAATATGGAATGAGCGAAGCTCGGTTTGTACCGTAGGATTTCCCTCAAAAGTCTTTAGACCGTGCGGAACCATGCAACTAAAAAAGAAATAATCGTGATCAACCAACAAGATCTGTATAGCATTGAATGGGATTTTTGGTGATCTGTTTGTTGCGCGAAAAATAAAAGAATAGAAATTTGAAAATACGTTAAAGTAGCCAAACTCTGACTGCTATTCGATGACCGCTCTTGGCTATCTACAAAGCGTTGGTCTTCTGCCAATTTGGAATGGAACATTTCACAGTTCTCGTACTAGTATTTTGAAAATAGTACGCCTTGTAGCACTTGCACGCTATGAATTTTTGGGCGAAAACGACAAATTAAGCTGTTTGTATTACTACAATAACTATTAGGAGGCGGGGGAAGTTGACCACACGTGTGTAATCATTGTATGAAATTGGAAACAAATAGAGGGCAGATGAATACTACTCCTATATAGACTCCTTGTAGAATACTATGACAACAAATTCTGTACTGTTGCAGTAAATCCTGCTACTATTGCGGTAGTACTTCCTAATGATTGCTCTTCTCTTATGAAAATTGGCCTTCTTCCATGTCTTTTTGGGATTCCGGAACTCCCTTTTGCAAGCCCCAGGAAGATTCAACACATATTGTTTGTACTCTTTCATGACATCACTTCCATTGAGTCCAATGCTCTTGCAATTTTTGCTAATCCAAGTCCACTTCAGCGCCATAGTCAAGGCTTCATTCATTGCATCCATTACCCTGCCAAGCACAGAGAGTGATTGAAACACTGTGAAGTTGGGATCAAATTGAGAATCATGCTTGTGGCATGAATAAATCATTTGAGAACCATCTCTAGAGACTTCCAGTATAAATGACTCAGGATCAACTCCAGCAGCAGGAAGATCAAAGTAAATAACATGACTGGTTCTTGTAAACTTCAAGCCTTGCTTCTTTGCCTCAGGGTCTGTGAGCAGTCCTAAAAAGTGAGCTTGTTTGCTGCTGTTGACTAAAATACTGTGCAAATTTTCATGTGGTTCCCATGGCATATATGCCCTGCGCGGTGTTTGTAATGGCATTCAATGACAATCAATGCTTTGCAAAATATACTACAGTCAAAAGTTCAAGGCAAGTATGGAATAAGCAATTGCATTCAAACTGGAGAAATTGTATCATGCCATGGACCATTCCCTGTAGCCAATTCTTACGAAGATCCTTTATTCTAGCACTTTGTTTTAAATCTGCTATAACTATCCTATGTCACTGCTTGGTGACTATTGTACTCCTGTGTAGTAATTGCTGAAACGTTGTTCTCCATTTTTATCTGCTTCTTGTTACTACTAGAACTCCTACTATTCTCTGCCAGTACTACTACAGAGACGTAACTATGCTTGTTGTCTATTGATCTKGTGCTGTTTTATTGCTCTAGTATTGCTGTATTGCACAATCAGTGCCTGCTTGAAATAAAACTAATTGAGATGTTTGCCATCTCCATCTCATACACCATCACCTTCCTTCAGGCTTTAGTTTGATAATGCTCAATGCAAAAGATATGGATCTCCTCTTCAGTACATAAGTCTGAAGTCCCAGAAAGCATTCCAAACAACAATAGAAGGGAATTCTTCAGAGTCTGCTGGCTGTGTTTCTTGCTTGTTCAACAGCCTCTTCCACAGCAATATTGTAGTCTTCTTGAACTTTGCAAGCATACTGCTGTGATTGCTGTGTGTTGTTGTTACTGCTGTTTGCTGCTTAATTTTGTGAGCTTCTTTGCGTGTGAGTACTAGTACTACTAGTAGTAATAGTAGAAGTACCACCACCGTACTACTACTAGCTTGGAGGTACTTTCACACAACTGGAAAAAATTGAGTATAATCAAAAAGTCAGTTGTGTGTGATATGATATATTTGTAGTTATGAGTCGCTGTTACGAGTCGCTGTTGCAAAGGATGCTGTTATGAAGGATGCTGTTATGAAGGATGCTGTTATGAAGGATGCTGTTAGTATGAAGGATGCTGTTACGGAGGATGCTCTTTCGGAGAGACGATGAGTCACTGATACGGAGGACGCTGATAGTACGAGTTGCTGACATGATTTGATACGATACAGAGGGGATATAAAACACTAATACCAATACTATCTCTCCTATTTTCATTCTTTTATTTGTATTGCAAGGAGCACCATGGTCGTTCTTGGCTCTTGTCTTGTATTTCAACACCGTATTCGGTAGTTTCCTGTTGTTTAACGTCGAACTCCTACTAAGTGGTGGTGATGAATTGATTTTTCCTGTTATTTAACGGCAGAATTTTGATTACTTAGAGAATGCAAGGAAATGAGTTTACAAAATGGCGGAATGCAAGGAAATGAGTTTACAATTCACTAAAAACGGAAATATGCAAGGAAATGAGTTTATGTCGTTTGTAAAACAAGGAAATGGGTTAATGGTCCCATCTACTTGTTCGGGTAATTTTTCAAATTGTACGAAATACAGTACGTACTCGTTCTACCCAGTACGAAGTGGCATAATAGTTTTTGTAGAAGTCTTTTGCGAAAATGTAGGAGAGAAATCTGGGGTTCGCGGTCATCTTTTTTACTCTTTTGGAATGTTAGGAATGACTCACTCGCTTTTCGGTTTGCTAATACCGTACGTAAGTGGACCTATCCGTAAAGGACTGTACACGTTTACTTACTCGTAGCGTACGTAGCGGTAGACAATACAAGGTAGGGGGTACAAGCGAAGCATTCTAATTTCAGTACCGTAGTACGAACTGTACAGCACATTATTTTTTGATCTTAGGGTTTCCATGAATAATTTCGTAGAAAATCCGAAAACCCTTGCCAAAGATATCACGATCCCACCATGCGTACGTACTCGTACCAGTCATACGTACTCATACGCAATTTTCACTCGTATCGGGAAGTTTCGCACACAAAAATCATGATCGATCACGAATACCGAGAAAACAACTCTGTAAAATAATGCGAACAGCTTGAACAACAGGCGATATTTGTTCTTCCATTTTTCTTCAGGGCAAACAAACAGATTCCTTTGTTTTCGTCTGTTGGCCAACACTGTCACCATAGCCTTTTTCTGCTACTGCTAYYACTACCACCACCACCATGCTATCGTTGCCGTTGCGATTTCCCTCGCCGTTGTCCTCGTCTCCGCCTTGGCCCGTTCCCCAGGTGCCAGAGCAAGAGCAACCGCCAGCGCCAGTGCCTTCACCTCCACCGGCACCCGTCCAAACCCACAAAAGGCGCAAGCTGGCCATCGCGGACTGTGGCTACGCGGGAGAATCTTCCGAGCACTTCTCGGACCGCSTCGACATCGTCCGGTTTGTGATCTACGACTTTGCGGCGGCTACGAGTCCGAGCCCAAGGCCAAACCCGGGCCCACCCATCCGGGACCACCCGCAGCAGCTCAAGCAGCACCGTCCAGGAAAGAACKGGAGACCGCCGATCGTCTCCCCGAACCTTAGGGCCCATGGGCACGAGTGGAAAATCGTGGTCCTCCCGGGGGGCCTCCGTTCCTCGGTGGGCGACGATGCTAYGTGCGTGGCCTGCTGCCTCGCCCGCCCCCGGAGGGGCTCCCGGACCGAGCACCCTTCCACCCTTGCCGCGAGATTCGACATCCGCTGCGGGGGGAGCCGTGGGAATCCGCCGGCGGGAGCGACGCCCGTGTCTCCGGCCCGCGGCGGAAGCTACGGCTGGCGAAACCTCGGGGCGCGGGAGGACGTCCTCRACCACTGCCTGCAAGAGAACGGGAGCCTGGTGATCGAGGTCGGCATCCGCATGGCCGCGAGCGAGACGAAGGCCGCCCCCCGCCGCCAACCCCCGGCAAGCGCGTTCGTTTCGGAGTCGTTCCTGGTGGAGCAGTACCACAGGGCCTCCGAGACCGGCGACGTGGTGCTGATCCTGGACGACGGAAARGACCAGTGCCACGCCCACCGGCTCGTGCTCTCGTCCAGAGCCGGGGCGCTCTATTCCATGGTCGGAGACTGCGAAACCAACCGGAACCCATCGGGTCAAGCGGCGCAGCAGCAAACCACTCGCGTCCCCATTCGCGGGATCCGGGGAGAAACGGTACGGACCTTCCTCCGGTGCATCTATACGGTCGAGGCACCGGACGATGTCCTTTCGAGAGACGAGGACACCGCCAGGGAACTCCTGCTCGCTGCCCGTCGGTTCGGTGCACCGGACCTCGGGCTTCGCGCCGAGTCTTTCCTCGCGGAGAGGTTTTTGGGTCCCCACAACGCGGCGTCCCTGCTGGCCCTGGGAGAGGCAAACTCCTGTCCACGCCTCAAGGAGGCCTGCACAAAGGTGTTCTGCGACCGGCCCTTGGAGGTGATGGGCTCTCGGGGCTGGCCCGCTGTCGTGGAGTCGAGGAGCCTCCTGGTGGAGCTCCTGGCGGCGCAGGCCGGTCTCCCTCCGGCGGTTGCCCCGAACGACTCCGCCTGCGTTCCCAGGGGGGGAGCCGCTGGGTAGAACGGCCGAACCAACGAAACGAAACGAAACGAAACAATATACAGTGCGCTCCTGCCGCAGCAATCGCAAGGGAACCAAGCCAAGACTTCTCACGGCGAAATCAATGGCTTGAAGGTGTGGTTTCGTTTGTTCTTCSTTTCGTGGAGTAGCCGATGAAGACCAGTCCGTTCTTTTCGACAATTTTTTTCATTTCGATGCGATAGCAGAGCAAAATACTGGTAGGAAATAACATTACGAGCCACGAACTTTCGTGGTGTTRAAACGCAAATTAGACTCTATTTTTTACGGGTGGTAGCCGGTGAACAAGCTTCTGCTCGAAGTAATCCATCGTAATTTTGATGCGATAGCATACACTAGTTCAATATTGAATAATACAAAAGATCTTTCCATAGGGTAGAACGGGGTTTTTACTGGTGCCAATGAGAACACCGGACTTCGGTGCAATGGAGATGGGTTAGCAGTGGTTTGTCGGTTTGTCGGTCGGTGGGTTGATGCTTAGTACCGTTTCCACAAAAAGTCGTGGCAGCTCCTGCCTAAAACGACATTAGGTCTCCCCGGCCAGGGGTCGTACCCGCAGGGAAAGCCAAACTGTTCGAGCTCGGGGATGCACCCGGGGACCTCGTGCCGTTTCGAGCACCCAAAAATCGACGACCACTCCATCTTGAAGCCGGCCTCCTCGAGCAGGGCAAAGTGCAGGGCAAAGTAGTAAAAGTGCTCCCGGGTGGTCATCCAGGCCTTGGAGACGTGGGTTTCGATGGAGATTTGGTCGACGTTGTACAAAAAGGTGGGGTCCTCCCGCAGAATGTCTCTCGCCAGGGCGAACTCGCAGCCCTCGCAGTCCATCTTGATGATCTCGACCCGCTCGAGGCCGAGCCAGTACCGCAGCTTGGGCATGGAGGTCGACCACCACTCCTCCGCCCCGCCCTTGTTGGCGAGGCGCTCTTCGTTGTCTTGGAGCATCGACGCCCCAACGTTGTGAAAGGTGACTAGCGGGTGGAGCTTGGAGGGGTGGGGGACCGTCGGGTCGCCCGCAAAGCCCCGGCAGCCCCACAGTTCTGCGAGTTTCTGGTCGAAGCTCGGGTCGTCGTTGATTCCAAAGCTGAAAAAGGAGCAACCGTTGGGCGGCTTGGGCCCGCACAGGGCGTGGCCCGAGGCGAACTCCACCAGCTCACACGTTCCCTGCTTGATGGTTTGGCGCCTTTTCGCGTTGGGGTAGATCAGCTTGCCGTACTTGGTCATGTACGCACCAACCTTTTGGATCGCTTCGTCCTGCTCGGACGGGTTCATTTCTTCCCAGAGCTTCCATTCGGCGTGGAGCGAGCKCTTGGAGGGTTCCAGCGAAAGCATGTGGCTTTTTTCCGCAACCGYTGCCGACGACGAGTCCGATCCGACGCCGACAACGGCACTGTTGTACATTTTTGCCGCGTCGTCGTATAGATTGTATTCTCCGAGGCTCATTCCTTCGCGGAAGTAAAGCATTGAGGCGCATAAAAGAAAGATCGTGCTRTACGCATAAGTGCGCGTGGTTTTGTTCCCATTCTGTGCCTTAGTGAGCTTCATGGTTGTTTGCGTTCGATCCAAAAGTACCTTGTGTTTCCCAAACTTTCACTCGGGGTCTTTCGAAATAAAAAATTAGTAGTAGTACCGTAATGTCTTTTTATGATTCTCGTATTCGGTGAGAGGGGAAAAAAGAAAAAAGTGATATTTTATGGTATGATCTCTTCTGGTACGTACGGTACTCTTACTACTGTAGGATACTACTGTACCGGTAGGATTCGTACCGGACGGTTTTCTGGTCACAGTCGTGTAAAGAATTGTTCCTCCCTACCGTATCGTTCCTAGAGTGCGCTACGGACAACCGTTAAAAGCTTTACCCCAGTCGTATGTGGACCACGATTTCGTTCCACGGCCTAATCTTGATGAATCTGTCGAGTCGATCGACTCACAACACCAAAGGAAGGGAATTGACCATCCATCACCCCGGTAAGATGGTCAACTGTCGACATCATGTCCAAACTAGTGTTGCGATTACGATTTAGCCACTTTATTAGAACGAAGATGGCTGCTTTTTCAAAATCCAAAACATTGCGTACGTACCGCACGATTGGCAACTCAAAAGCATTTTCGAATGGACCCAGAAAGGAGCTTGTCACGGGAATGACCAAAACAACTGGATTCTCACAATTCTACACACCAAGACCCAAACAACAACAGCAACAACCATTCTAAGTTAACCTGGCACTGTAATACGAAACATTACAAACCACTAGGTTACGTAGCTAAACAATACAGCAATTTATAACGGTTTCGTAGTATACATACAAMAGGTCCGGGAGACTTCTAGCGCGGCGTCGTTCCTAGGCGCTTCCGCAAATATCTTCGGACGGGGCCAACAGCTTCTCGTAGGAGTCCATAAACCACGCCGCGGTCTTCCCTCGGTCGCAGCAGATTCCCGTCCGAAAAAATCCAAAGTAGTACGGTATGTTGGGGAGACCCGAAATGTCGCACGATCCGATTTCCGCCAGGCCCTTCCCCGGCTTTGGTCCATGGGTGTGGATGATTTTCACTTCTTCAAAGGTGCTTGGATGCAGTTTCCAGTAGGATTTCCAGTTGTAATGAATCGGCAGCAAGGAACGCCCGAGATCGGTTGCGTTGAAATAGTCGTTCACGAGGCCTTGGTCGAATGCGACGTGCTGTCCGGTTTCGTTAAAGTACGCAAGCATTCCAGGGATTTCTTTGCCAAATTTTTCAACGTCTATTAACATGATCCCCGTATTGACGGCTTCGGCTTCCTTTGAGGATTCGCGACCGTACATGATTGCTGCATCGTCGTTGGACAGGGTGTCCGAGAGTCTTTTGAGGTTGGCCTTCTTCAGCTTGTTGGGAAACATCACGTCCGTGTCGGTGTAGAGAAAACGACGCTTGCAYATATTGGGTGCCTTGTCCATGAGTCCGTGCTCCTTGATCAGCCGTGGGATTTCCAGGCGCAACCACGGGCCCTGTCGATGGGAGGGGGGCATCTCTGGGTAGTGTCTGTTCACGATTTCTTGAAAGGAAAGCCTGGGCACGTTGAACACCCACGCTCCTTTCTGCTCCGCCCATCGCCCGACCTTTGACAACGACGCAGTCTTGGTGGCMGTTGTCGTCGTTGACGTTGTCGTTGTTGTTGTCTCGCTGTCGTCTTCTAGTTCGAGTCGCCCAAGCAATAGGACGGGCTGGAGAGATTCTCCTGCGTTCACCGTTGCGGAGTTCAGGGCGACCGAGTAAAAGTTTTTGTACCCGGTCCCTTTTTCGTTGCACGCAACTTCGTCACCGCCGTCGTAGATCGCCGCAAACCACAGCATTTTGCATCCCTCTTCGCCGTCTTCGTCTTCCGTGTCCCACTCGTGTTCGTCGCACGGGCCCGGATCCTCACCCTCCGCGCAGAATTCGTGTTCGTCGCACGTTGTGTTCTTAMAGAATTCATCCACGACTTCCGTCTCGTAGACACAGGAGCTATTTCGAGAAAATTTGTCAAACTCCAGCAATGCGGTGGCCTGTGTCTGCGGTCGACCGTGCCTGTTCCAAGGAGAAACTCCGCTCGGAAGGACATTCGAATTTAACTCCAAGGTTCTGGTCCAATCCGATATTATCGCATGATCGCGAAGAGAGAAAAGTAGAGGTATGACCAATATAACAAGATAGGTGAATCCAATGCCAGCACGTTTTCCGACTTTTTCGGCCGACATGGTTGCTGCTCGATCGTTTCGTTTCGTTTTTGTTTTTGTTTTGTTTTCTTCTGTTCGCAACATCACAGCAAAAATGTACGACTGAAAAAAAGTTTGTCTTGTCTCTCGGTGCTTGAAAGCATATGTGCTTAAGGTTCTATCCTACCGGTAGGAAATACAGGAACTATCGTACCGTAGGGACTACTGTATTACTGTATTTAGTGACCGTCGATAATATTCAACGGACAAAAAATAAAAACAGCACCGAACCGGGTGTGAGTGGACTGTAAAAAATACCGTAGTGATTTCAGTTTGTGGTTACAGTAATCTACTTTTGATAGACTGACAGACCAAAAAATACTTTCTAGTATCAGATTTGTAGTGTAGATTGTCACAAACAATATATCTAAATGGAGTCGCGTCGAACCCACGAATACAATTCTTTGTCAACACTCCATCTGATATCAAAGAAAATAGTAGTAGTCCATTCCGAACGAAAGATCTGTACTTTCGGCATGACAGGACCTCGTACCGTAGTAATCTTCTGCTCCCAGAAAAATGGTACGTCATACGAGTCAGTCTTGAATCTATCGGTCTGGCTCCGCTCGCTAGGCTAACCCCAGAGCGTTTTTTGGACAGATAATCGCTCGATTCGATTTGTTGCTTCTTGCGGTTTGCCGCCATTCTAGTTTGCAATCTAGTCACAATCTCTGAATATATATAACATATACATATATATATTGCAATATAATATTCTATGATGTGTGTTCCGCACTCGCCTTGTGCTTTGCTATTGTTCCCCGTGCCGGTCGCGGAAGGACTGGAGGCCGTTCCCGGTCTTGTCGGCGGCCGCGCTCACCGCCGGCTTCCAGTTCTCGTCGTGGAGCCGGACGCGCTTGTCGGCGGCGATCTGTGCCCGGACCGTTTGCTTGTGGAGCCGGTCCCGCTCCTTCTCGAGGCGCTTCTTCTCTTCCAGGAGCAACCGGGCCTTTTGCTTTTCCGACAGGGGCTGCTGCACCGGAAGCGCCGCCGCGGGGCGGTCGGCATCGGTGCGCGCCTTTTTGTGGACCGAGGCCCGTGGCTGCAGCGCCGACTGGGCCCTTGCGATCGCCGGCAGCACCTCCCGGGCCAGCGTTTCGCGGGCGGAAGGGCAAGGGGCCTCCTCCAAGACGAGGGTTCTTGAGGCCTCAACCATTCCCACCCGGTCGTCTTCCAGCAGGTCCCGGACGGAGGCCGAGCAAAAGAGGCGGTCCGCGAGCTTGGGGTTGTCGAGTTTGAGGGTCCGGTACTTGATTCCGGCGTCTCCGGGGGCGGCGCCCTTGGAGGGATCGATCAGGTTTTTGAGGACGACGGCCAGCGTTTTGAGCTGTTGGCGCATCGGATTTGGTTTRGWTTGTTGTGTTGTGTCGTGTTGTCGTGTCCAAGGAGCATAGTTTTCATTTCGTCGACAGCGAATGCGATTGCATCGAAACCAAAGAAAGTGTTGACGTTCCGACGGAAACAGGGGGAGGTGGGGCGAGGTGAGATACGGCACGACGAGACGAGACGAAGCCACGAAACCAAACAAAACAAAAACGTACGCAGTTGTTCTTTTGGGCAGTCGTCAGKGAGGCATCGCCGGTGATCCTTTCGAGGTAGGCATCGATGCTTGTGCTTGTGCCGCTCCCGTTGCTGCTGTTTCCGGCGGACGAAAGACGAAGAGTACCTGCTGTGGTCATGGTAGTATGATKGGCTGTCTCTCTGTTTCGTCAGTGGTTTTCGTGCGGTGTTACCAACGGACGGATCGAAAGCTCGATTGAAATACAAGTTGCTGTTGTTGCTGCTGCTGCTGCTGTTGTTTGTTTGTCTCTCTGTGTTTGTTTTGGCGCTGCGATGATGCGATGAAAACCAAATTCTCCGTCGGCCAGATGCGATGCGATGCGATGCGATGAAATTCGATCTGTTGAGTCGGATTCGATAGCTTCGGTGATCCTCTTTCCAACAGAATGTCTTGGAAAGGTGCCAAGCGATGGTTTGTTTTGTGGTTTGTGGTTTCGCTTCGTGCTTTGTTTTTCTTTTTTCGTCGGTCGTCGATTGGCACTTTCCTTGGTACGGAGTCACACACGATTCCATGTACGCGTACGGGGTACTCGTAATGCATGCAGAACCCGTAGAGTAATACTGTACGGAACCTACCGTACTTACTTTCCGTTTCGAGAATAATCATCATCACGCCGAATTTCGAATTCCTTCGAGTTCGTCCTTCTTTCCCACTGAATTGCTGACGTTAGGTATGGCGTGTGTTGTACGATTCGTAAACACAATTACGTACGAGTACGGATAGAGGAATCGATCGGTTCACGTACGTACGTAGCAGAAGTAAGTAGCGCAGCGTTGCAGCAAGTAAGGACGCCTTTCGAAGAGTGCTSGTACTTGGTACGTAACGGTACGGGTACCTTACGAGTAGGTACCCGGGAGGTTGTCCGATGATCGATATTTTTATGGCGCGCGATTGGAGGAGATGATTGCGGGATCGGGAATTCTGGGTCGTATGAGGGTATGTCTCATATGTACATAATATGTGTATGCGTACCATACACATGATACTGTATGATTGTGAGCCATACGGACATACGGTACTCGTACGAGTATCGAGTAACCGTACGTAACCGATGCGACGGCACCGGATCGATTTTCTTTCGTTCGCTTCACTTCACAGGACGAGTTCTCTCTCAACGCATTTTCGTTTCGTTTCGTTTCGGTTTTGTGTTGTTTTTTGTTTTGGTTCGTTGGCGCGGCATTTTTTGGAGTTGGGAAACGAGGCATCCTCCTCATCAAACGCTATCGTTTCTTACAGACACACACACTGCTCACTTACAATTTTGCACGTGGTCTTGTGCGAACTAGCTGCAACAGACACTCCGTTCAGCCAACCAAAATCCTCGGCTTCCTACCTCGTACATTAGTGCACTCGTAGTGCATCAGACAGGCCATCAAAGGAGACGCGACAAAGAAGACGAAAAACACAAGACCGAATACATCGAATCGAATCGAATCGAATCGAAACCTGCTGCGGTGCAGAACAGACATCTGTTTGCTGCCAAACGATGCGCTCGGTGTTAAGAACAAAGAATAGAACAGAAGACAACCGAATAAAACCGAAACGAACAAAATAATACAGCGCAGCGCAAGATTTTGGAATTGATTTCGAATCGATCTGATTCGATTCGTTTTGCCCCACGATGAGGAATGCTCATCCAGCGYCCCAGCACGTGCAATCGCCCCCGTTTTCGAGCAGCGCACCGTCGCCACGAAAGACGACGAAGCCGTCGCCAACAAGAGCAGCGACAGCGACAGCGGCAGCAGCAGCACCACCGGCCGGAGCAGCAAGAACCAAAGCACAAGCTCAATCACAACCACGCAAACAAAACCAACCCGGTAGTACCATTCGGCGCTTGCCGCAGAAACACACCCAGCGACAACTCGGCACCGTGCTGGTGTTGTCCCTGCTGGTMAACCTCTGGGTGGTGGCGCAGCTGTCCATGGTCGGCTGGATGGCGCCGGCTGTAACATCCGGCACACACGGAAACCAACAGCAACAGCACCAACAAGACCCCAGAGAAACAAAGGCTCTCGGCCGGGATCGCCGCAACCAGATCGATCCGTCTCGCCTGATGGTGCGAAACGCACAGCTGCTATCGCAATACCAGAAGCAGCCCCTGGCAAAGCAAAGAGCCGCAGCGTCCGCCGGGGACGGACACGATCACGAAACAAAAGGGAAGGCTGTTCTTTCTGCCGGCGGCCCGGAACCAGTGGTGGCGCAACAGCAGCACCCCGGGCAACGCCCCAAACAACAACCCAGGCAGCAACCTCTCGGAAAACAACTGCAAGACGAAACGGGCGGCGATCCGGACCTCGTGCACATTKTGCACACACGGTTCATGCAGCACCAGGGAAACCTCACCACCCTGGGCCTCGCCCGCCTCGAGCAGTTTCTGGCCTTTTGTCTGCCGACGATGGTCCACCAGACCACCCAGAACTTTTTCTGGATCATCAAGGTCGACCCGTTGCTGTACGAGGAGGGGTCGGACTCGCTCCGCCTCGTCTTTCGGCCCCTGCTGGAGGCGATCGAGGCCTCGAGGCACGAGAACGACAACGCGAACAATATTTACCTGGTGGGATCCAACTACAACCACAATCTCCAGGGGCACGGCTCGTGGAGGGACGGGCAGGAAGGCGACGAGCTCCGGCTCGAGGGCTTGGCTCCGATGAGCGCAAGCGCAAGCGCCACGGAAGCGGCGGCGGCTCGTGGGGACCACCACCGTGCCAACGGGACGGGATCCGCGGTTCCCTCCAAGGGGTCGGCCCCGGTGTTTTCCGGCGACCTGGCCCGGCTCCGGAGGGCCCACGAGCTGAGAGAATCGCTGCCGGTCCTGGAGACACGGCTGGACGCCGACGACGGATTGCACCGCGGGTACCTCGAAAGGGTCCAGACCATGGCCCTTCGGCGGTTCCTGGGAGGCCACGGAGACGGCGGCGGCGGCGACACCAACGGCACGATGGCGGATGCCCCGGCACCGCCCAGGCCCCGGTGGCTGTACTGGTGCATACAAACCCAGATCGAGTGGCACTCGGACAACAACAACGACTCTTTGGGCCGGCCGGGCACCGCTACGGAACCGAGGTACCACGGGAATTCCACCCTCGGCTACCTGCGGGTCCTCCGGAACGACAAGTACTGCATCACCCCGGGGATCACGGTCGGGTACGGGGTCGGCCTGAAAAACACCACCGCGAACGTGCCGTGGTACCAGCACACCAAGATGTGGGCCCACCTGCACAACAAGTACAAGTTTTGCCACTCGCACGAGGACCGGCACAAGACGCAAAAGGGCCCGTGCCTGGAACTCATGGGGAAAGCCGGCGGCGAGAACCGCAGCGACGACGGCGGCGGCGGCGACGACCACGGGCACGGGGGCCAGGGGGATGCCCGCAAGAAACGGCCGAGGGAACCCTTTGTGCTCCACGCGCTCCGTTCGAGAACCCTCACCTCCGCGGGAATGCTGGGCATCCTTCCGGGCAACAGCAGCAGCARCAGCAGCAAGGCAAAGACGAAGAGCGGCAGGCACAACCGGGAAGGCGAAAACGACCAAGCGAGCGATTCGAACGACGAGGACCTCTCGGTGCGGATGCAGGCGGTGATGTGGAGGGTCCTGGCGCTGGACTTTGGGATCGATCCGGAGAGGGTGAGAAGCGCGCAGGAATTCCTGAGCGAGCACCGCGTCGCGATTGCCGAAGAGAACCGCCTGGGGCAGTGCACGGCCGGGCACTCGTGCAAGGACGAGGCGCGGGAGCGGCTGGAAACCATTGTGCGGAACGGGGGATGAACCAAACCAAACCAAACCAAACCAAAACAAACAAACCAAACCATACCAAACAAACCAAACACGCCACGCCACGCAACGTGCGTGCGGTGCCGGAAGGATTGGATCCGTTCCCCAAAGTGCATGCACCGCACGTCGTTTTGCGACCGTTGGCAGCTTCCACCTGCGCTCGAACGAACGGGGGGACCACCAAATCGATTGATGCCGGCTCGTGGGCCGAACAGCAACACAGATAGAGTAGATAGATACAATGCATCGTCGAGTAGTAGCAATAGCAATAGCGGTAGTAGTACAGTAGATTGTAAATGCCTATCCATCRCCAACACCGCGGACACAAAGACGGCGACGGAAGAATACATGTAGCACCGAGCAATACGAGGAAGTGCCGACTGCAATCTCGAAGGCGAAGAGCTACAGAAACCATTCTATTCTTTTTCTACACTACTGTTGTATCGAGATGGAGAATGCGAAAAACCGAAACCCAACCACGAGCTCTTGCGAAGATTCCCGTGAAAAGGAGCGCAGCTTTTTTTCTCTTTTTGCAACGGCTTTGGTTTCTGTTGCGCTGCGCTGCGCTGCGCTATGCTATGCTTCGATCGGTTCGCTTGGTTTCCGGACCCCGACCAGGACGAGGTTTTTCGACGAGTGGGCGCTGTCGTATTCTTCCAGGGAGATATCAAACCCACCACCACCACCACCACCAACCCCACTGCCCTCGTTGTTGGAAAGGGAGTGGGCCAGGAGGGACCGCATCCGCATGTTGTTGATGACCGTCATGGCCCGGTGCGTGATTTCGGGCCGTTCGTTGATCTCGGCCAGGCGCTGGACCGTGGCGACGTCCTGCTCCCGTTGTTGTTGTTGTTGTTGTTGTTGTTGCGTCGGTTCGTCCAAGGGCGGCACCGTGGTGGTGGTCTTGTCGACGATCGGCGGAGAGCCTTTGGAACCCCGAGTGGGTTCCTCCCCGTCTTTCTTTTCCTCGTCTTTGTTTTCGTTTTCGTTGCCGTTTTCGTTGCCGTCTTGCGGGATTCTTTTTGCTCCGGCGGCGGCGCTTGCCCCGCTGTGCTTCCTTGGCATCTTTCGGAGGAGACCCGTTCCCTCCGTGACCGGCACGCAGCAATAGTCGTCGATCCAGGAGGGAGTGAATCCCTTGATGTACCGCTTGGTATAGCAGCACGGGCAGATCACAAAGGCCCCGACGGCACCAAACACGCCGTTGTTGTTGTTGTTGTTGTTGTTGCTTCGGAGGTTCTTGCCGACGGAAAACTCCAGGGCGTAGTCCGAGAGGTCCCCGCAGGCGTGCCAGGCGATCACCACGTCGAAGGAGGGAGGGGAATCGCCCCTGCGGCAGTATTCCGCAAAGTCGTCGCAGACAAAGCGGACGCGGTCGTCGTCGTCGTCGCCGTTGCTGTTGTTGTTGTTGTTGCTGTTGTTGTTGGTTTGGTTCGAGTGGTCCTTGTGTTCGTCCTCGCKGCTTCCCCCCGCTCCCGCCCACCAGCGCTTCCGGGACTCGTAGTAGGCCCTGCCCCCCTCCAGGGACGACGCGTTCGTGTCGACCACCGTGACCCTCGTTTCGGGAAAGGCCTCGGCTACCGCCACGGCAATGTCCCCCCGGCCCCCCCCGACGTCCAGGACCTCCAGCCATTTTTTTCCGCTTTTCCTGCCCGCCGTGGTGGGTCCCCGTGTCGAGCGCTGCTGCTCCCGCAGGGCCTCCACCACCGGTTTCAGCCGGCGGACCAGCCAGTCGATCTGCGGCCACTTCTTGTCCTCCAGGTACTCCCTCCGGGTCAGGGGGTGCCGGGTCGATTTCAGGGAGGGATCGTGCGGATCGGGGAGGTTGTAGGCCGCTGCCACCGGCATGGAGGAAGGGGTGCCTTCTCCCGCGTGCGGTGCACCCGCGTGTGCGGTTGCGCTTGAGTTTGCGTGTGTGTTTGCGTTGGTGTGTGTCTTTGCGTTTGTGTTTGTTTGTGCGCGTTCCCCCGCGCTTCCGAGGCGGCCCCCGGACGGCCCCACAAAGAGGGGTTCGACGACGGGTGCCTGGGAGGCCTCCATCGCCTCGAGGACCGCCCTGTGCCTCCTCTTGATATGGGCCGGGCGCTTCCGCGGCCGGAATCCGCTTCCGTGGGGATCGCTCCTTCCGGCGAGGCCTTCAGGCACGCGCCCGCGCTCTTCAAAAGGGGGGGGTCCCTCCCCCTTGAGGCCCCTCGCCAGCYCCTTGACCAGGGCCCGCAGGGCCTTGTCCCTGGGGCCCGGGGCCAGAGCGGCTTTCGCGGTGGTGGCGTCCCCGAGCAGGCTGGGAAGAGGAAGCCTCCCGTTGGGTTCGTGGTTGTCTTCGTGTTTGTGTTCGTGGTTGCGTTCGCCTCCGGTCCCCCCGCCCCACGAAAAGACCCCCGGGGGGAGCTTGCGGTCCGCGACGAGCCCCAGGCAAACCTGGATCGCGTTGGGATCGGGGGAGGACCGCAGGAGTGCCAGGGACCGAGCGGATCGGTGGTTGTGCCGGGCGTTGTTGTCGTTGTTGTTGTTGTTGTTGTTGTTGTCGCTGCTGTCTTTGCTGCATTCCTCCCGTGGTTCGTCTTTGTCTTTGTCCTCGTCCTTGTCTTCGTCCTCCACCTCTGCCTCGACGAGGCTCCCCACGAAGCATCCCTCCAGCGCAAAAGCGGAGGCCTCGTGCTCCGGGCTGCGATCCACCATGACCAGTGCGAGGGAAGCCTTCTCTCCCTGCTCCTCCGTCCGGATCGCCAGGCTCACGTGGTTGCGGTACTTGCGCTTGCGAACAACGGTCCCGCGGATCGTCGTTGTCGTCGTTTCGGTCGTTGTCGTTGTCGTCGCTGTCGTCGCATCTCCTCCTCTTCCTACCCCTACCGAAGACGCTTCGGCGGCATCGGATCCGTTGTCGTTCATGCTGGGCCAATGGAAACTGTGTCGTATCGTATCGTATCGCAGCGCAACTCAACGCAACTAGGAATCGCAATCACCGGTGTGGAAGAACCAACAACACAACCCGTCCTGTAGCATTGCGTTGCGTTGCGTTTCGGTTCGGTTCGGTTCGATATGGGCTGGTTTTGTTTCGCGTTTTGAAAACGCGTGCCGAGGATTGGTCGTTCCTCCGCCGTTGAAAGACAGACAGACAGACAACCTCCGGTTTCGGTGTACGACTGGCCACTGGCGCACTCGTATCTAATGAACATATGTATGGTACTGTATGATATGATTCGATCTTCCATCCGAGTTCCGTTTAGCTGATTCATATGTCATACTATTATGTACGTACTGGTACGTACCCTACATCTGTACATACATTGGACGTCGCAAACATCATACCCTACCGTACGCAAGTGACATCCAAATCCTAGTTGTAGTCCTAGTGGTTGTAGTCCTAGTAGTGGCAGTCCTAATAGTTGTAGTCCTAGTTCCTGTGCGCAGTGTTCGGTATTGCGACATGCCTCTCTTTGGAAAAGCGTGCGTTTGGGATGCTGCTGCTGTGCCTACAAGTGCAGCGCAGTAGCATCGTGCCTCTCGTTTCGTAGTTCTGTGTACTATGGTTCTACGGCATTGGGTCGAGTGGCCTCGAACTCCGCTGGATTGCTGTGCAGAGTACGTACTGCTACTGCTACTGCGATATGCCCTGCTTTCTTATAGTTCGTTGCGGTCTCGATCTGCCGTGCCGGKGCAAGAAACGCCGGTGCCTGCGCGTTTCACACACACACACACACAGACACACACACACACGACGCGACCACGAAACGGAGGCAGCCTCCGGTCCCGCGCTTCGCTCCGCTCCGCACCGCTGCACTGCGCTGCCTTGCCTTACCGGGCAAGGTGCACCATTCCCCCGCCGGGAGGGAGGGTYCCGGTCTCGGAGGCCGTGGACACGCTGTCGTCGCTGTCGGTCCTCTGCGAAACGATTTCCGGGACGCTCCGCTGGCTGCGGTGGCTGTGGCTCTGGCTCTCTGTGTGAAGATCGCACCGGCCCGGTTCGAACCGCATGCTTCCGGTCTCGAAGCAGGCCCTCCGGCTGGCCCTCYGTTTCAAAGGCGACTCGTACTGGCCAAAGGCCTCTCTCCGGGCCGCGTGGTCGTGATGATGATGCTGATGCTGCTGCCGCGGCCCCTTCCCGACCCCGGCCTCGAGGCGCTCGATGCATTCCTCCAGGGCGTCGGCGATGCGGTAGTGGCACCGGATCATCGCGGCGTGCTGGTAGGCCGCCACCGAGCCCACCTTCAGGTAGTGGTACAGCCGGTGCACGCTGGGGTCGCGGAAGAGCGTGAAAAAGTCGCGGAGCTCCACCTGCGGGACAATCGTGGTGGTCCCCTCGAAGGACTGCGTCATCATGGTCCCCGTGAAGCTCACGGCCGCGTCCAGGTCCCTCAGAAAGACAAACTTGGCCCGCATGTCGTTCTTGATGTACATTTCCAGGGCCGCCAGCAGGAAGCCCCCCCTCCAGCTCGTTTCCTTCTCTCCCCCCGACCAGCGGGTGGGCCGGCCGACGCCGCCCTTGGCATTGAAAAAGAACGGCACGATATGGGGATTGCACTGGCAGGCCACAAAGAAGTGGCAGTTCAGCATCTCCGACAAGCCCGCMGTGGGAATGTCGTGCTTGATCGACCCGTCGAAGTAGGTCTCGGGGCCCGCGCTCCGGATGGTCCCGTCCACCGGGTCCTTGATCTGGAGCCGCCGGGGGCTCACAAAGCCGGGGACCGCGGCGCTCGCTACCACAGCGCTGGCGATGGTCACGTTCGGGGAGCTGATATAGGTCAGGAGGATCGGCGGGGTCTTCTTGGCGGTGGCCGCCAGCGCGATGCACAAGACCCGGCCCGTCTTTTGGTAGGCTTCCTCGAAAGTAGTGTCGCCGAGCGTGAACCTGTTGTTTGGGTTGGGTGGATGGGGGAGAAGGTGCCATGGAAAGTGTTTGGAAAMGTGCCAAACCAAGGAAAAAACAAAAACAAAAGCAAGAACCAAAGCGAGCAATCATCGAAGAATATAAAAATGTGTACAGCACCCAAAGAGTTAGAATGCCATKCACGGCATCMAAGAAACAAATCTGCTTACAGGCAAACGGATGCTACACAACCATCTCATATAGCGACCTACCACTTGATCATCTCTAGCCAKTCGTCCCCGTCAAAGAGATTTCCCGTCTTCCACACCGACCGGAGGCACTCCGACCAGGTCCGGTCGAAGCACTTGAGACGGGGCCCGATAATCGTCGGGTCGAGGTCTCTGTGGAGCTCGTCGTTGGTCCGGGTGCACAGGACGGCTCCGATGGCACTCCCCGCGCTGCACCCGCTGACAATCTCGGGGAGGCAGTCCGTCTCCATGAGTCCCTTGAGATGGCCTAGGTGGTACAGGCCCATCATGGACCCTCCCGACAGGCAGAGAGCCGTTTTCCCGTAGGCGTGCTTGGCCCGCTTGAGGAACTTGAGGAGCTGGGCCCGGTTGACCGGGGGCTGCTGGGGACCAGAGCCGGTCGATTTCGGAGAACCGGGGTCGTTCGCTTCCGATTCGCTTGGCAAGGGTTCCTTTTCCTGTTCGTYGTTTTGTGACATCGTTCGAGTGCTAAAATCCAGCGTGGCAAAGGCCACAAGGTTCCTCCAGAGCTTGTGGTGTTCCGCCTTGGATTTCTGCTGGAGGTTTTGCTCGTATGTTTTCGGCCCGCCCCTCGACGTCGACGATCTCCCCGCTGTTTTGTTCCGCAGCTCCTCTCGCTCTTCCAGCGTCAGCGTTTGCTCCGTCACCCAGTACAGTGTTTTGGTCACCTCCCCGATGAACTCCATGACGATGAACTTGGGTTCCCCCGTGTAGGTTTTCGTAAAGAGGTCCTCGTTCATGATGCCGCCGACGTTCTTGCGGGTGCACTGCTGGAGGACCGCCAGTGCAAGTATAGGGTCCTTCTTGTCGCAGCGAGCCRCTCTCATGTCCGCGATGAGCTGTTGGATGAGGGGCCAGTTGTACTGGTAGCTYGTCTCGTCCGTCGTGGTCGATTGCCAGAGGGTCCGCTTTTGCGAGGCGTCGAGCTCGGACGCGTACCCGTACCACTCCTCGTAGGTCGAAGACTCGTTCGCCATCTTGGCGCGGAGGGCCCGGTGTTTGGGGGTTGCCACGATCGCCTCGATGAGGCGAATGCCGAGGCGGATACAGACGTACACCACTAGCTCTACGTTGATCAGGAGGTACGTGAGGCCCAGGATCGGCCACCGAAGGAGTTTCCCCGACCAGGTGTGCAGTCTACCCGGCATGATCGACAGGAGTGCCACCACTAGGAGGACCCCGCCAAAGGTCTGCCACAGRAAAACCCCGATCTTCCAGTCCATGAGGGGCCACTCCCGGGAAAACCAGGTCCAGAAGGATTTTTCGACCGCGGCGGCTTCCTGCTGGATGATAATGTTGGCTGTCGCCGGCAGCCTGGCCAGCAGCTCAARGGGACCGGTGGTCGAGTTTGAGTGGAGGCTGTGYTCCCGGAGCAATTCGAAAAAAAAGGTCGCGTTGACATGCTGCTTCGAGGACTGTACGGCCTGCTCCCAAATGTTTTGGATCATGCCGCCTAGGTCCTTTTCGGCCAGGTGGAGGTGCATAAGGATATTTGCGGTRGTTTCATTGTTGGCCTCAATGGTTCCACCATTGGTCATCCAAGTCGGCTGGACAAACACGTAGAGCTTATGGCCCGCCAGCCAAGCCCAGGACAGCGCATCGTTCCAGATGCGGTAAAAGAGAATCGGAAGGGAGGAGACAACGGCCGGAAATAATTCGTGGACGTAAAACTCATAGACAGAGTCGGGGGTCAGCGGAAGCAGTAGCGGATTTTGGAGAACCTCATTGTTTCCMGTTGCGTGTTTGCTCAGATTTGGATCCACATCGTTTTTTGCATTTTCATTTTCGTTCGTGCCGCTTTGAGGATTGCTCTGCCGTGTCTCGGCACCGTCCGTTTCATTGTTTTCTTTTGCATGGGATGGGGAGGATGTTCCTGTTCCTGTTCTCTCTGGTTTGGCCATCTTTGAAATATTCAGTGAACAAAATATATTTGAGTAGAATATCTGTTCAGATATTGAATGAATTTGAATAGGATAGGATAGGATCGGATAGAAATTCAATTGCGTCTATTTGGATCGGTAGAAAATGTTCGAACGCAGAATAGTCACTCTTTTATTCGACAACGCGTTTCTATCTTGGCCATTGCTTGCTTTTCCGAAGTGCTTTACCAGCCCACAGTGAATTCAATTTTCTTAATTGCGACCGGTAGGAATGTAATCGTTCTCGTGTGATGCAATGTACACTGTTTAGGCTGATTACTGTATTTATTTTTGTGAATGAAGTGTTTCGGTTTATTTTCAAAATTGTCGACGGCAGGCTGGCTGGAAGTACGGTCGATAGACACTGGTGAACTTCAGGTACCTGGTACCTGGTACTAAAAAATGGCGAATGGGTTTCTCGTCCTGATCGAAGACACGCAGAAACTTCAATCTCAGTTATCACTGCGCAGATTGTTTCCTCTGGCCGACTGGGTGCGATGGATCGCCTCCGGAAGAATGCAACAGTACAGTATCGGTAACTTCTGGTTCATGCAGGGTACCGTAAGGTCCGATACGTAGTGGAAAACAGTAGATTAGTGAAAATTGGTGGAACCGTTAGGACACAAAAATAACGCTTAATCAGCAGAGGGTCTGTGTCACGCTGGTTCGCCGTCGTTAAGCAATATTGGGCTCGTCATCGTTCCGTGTGTCAACGTCCATCAGTCCATCCGTGTATCGGAAGAAGTGCGAAGAGGCGTGGAATGCATGATACTGGTTGCTTCGTGTTGTGGTTACAGTCTCATTTAAAGTTTACGACSTCATACGTACGTACGAGTACCGTTCATATCGTACCGTACCACACCACGATACATGTTATTACTACGAATAACATAACAAGTGATCGCCACACTAAGAAATTGGTTCCCATCGTTAACTTAAGGATGCAATCCTTAGCACAGAAGCACAAAATGCAAAATCTACGGAGGTAGTTTGAAAGACCCATTCAAAAAATGCTAAACATAACAACATGTGATAGATTTTTGGTCTGTCTGTCTATCAAATWTAGCATTTCTATTAATTCACTATCTACTCGTGACTTCGGCTCAYAGTGTTGAAAAATTAAAAATTGAAGTACTACAGCTGTTCGATCTCATACTGAGAATAACCTACAGTTAGTCAGTGCRATATTGTTTAAGCCTTAGTTGTGTCCTGTAATGGCTCTGTATGATTAGTATGTACATTTCACAAATGGCAGGCGAGAACAAACAAATAAGGTAGTATGTTACCCGTTCTCGTACTACGAACGAGTAGAACTCGTTATGATGATTATATATTAGTGCCGTAACTTACTGTATGATTTTCCGTTGGATTTTTCTGTTAAAACCTAGGACAGGCACCGTTAATTTAAGTACGAAAACAAGGCGCGCTGGTGCGAAACATARGATTTCCCATCCAATGATACAGTATCTCTTACAGTATTCACTTTCATATTCTAGATGTACGCTTCGAATTGAATGGAACGAATATTGATATGCGCGACCAGAAAATAGCAATGAAGTCCCGTATTCCGATCATAAGCCGATAAACAGTTAGAATCCGCTTTTCGAACGGTATTTCAACGACCAATCCGTAAATCGATCGGAGTATGTGGTCACTTAATGTACAATTATAACGCCTGTAAGATACAACGTTTTTTACTTAGATGAGAGTACACCATATCCATCGAAAATACATAGGTAACTCTATGCGGAAACYTGACCAACGGAGAACAAAACATCATTTCAAAGACAACGTTGATTACAACCAAAAATACTTRGATCTTCAAAAATCCAAAAAAAATCAAATTCTCATCTTATTCAGCATGTTTTCCAGGGATGTTTTCCAGGCAYTTTTTCTGTTCCTGAGGGCTTCGTTCACAATAATTTATTTGGTTGTAATCAGTCAGGATTTTTGCTAGAAGTGTTCTCTTTCAATGTGCCTCGAGCAATAACGAAACCAGCACACTATCATACTCAAAATCCAACCACCAAGACAAAACCATGGCACCAGCAACAACAAAATTCCGCAAACTCTTCCTCCTCGTTTCCACGGCGGTGCTCCTTGTTGTGCACGTCGCACATGGATCAGCGCATGGGCTGAGACACAAGAGAACCGAAGAATTGATCACGGAAGAYAGCCATGCRGCTACCGATGGAAATCCTCCYAGGTTTGCGACGAACGGTGCCCCGATCAGGGGCACGGTGGAACGTGCCTTAAAGACAGAAAAGAGGTACAGCAAGAAGGAAAAATCCACAAAGAATAGCCAGAAGGAGTCCAACATGTACAAGTCCAACAAGAGCAACAAGTCGGAAAAATCCAAGGGTAGCAAGACGGAAAAATCCGACAAGTCCAACAAAACGGTCAAGTCCGCAAAAGGAACCGTCCAAGACGGGTAAGTCCGTAAAGGAACCTCCCAAGACGGGAAAGTCCGTGAAGGAACCGTCCAGGAAAGACAAGCTGTCCAAAAAGAGTGGCAAATCCAGCGAACCATCTAGCAAGCCCACGAGCGCGCCTTCTCTCGATCCTCCACCCGAGCCAAACTCGGCCGTTCCTGA